CCTGTTTAAATGTTCAAGAAACTTAGATTGAGGACAAATGCCAGATATCAGCTCAAAACTCTTTAATATGATTAAAACAATGCAAATCAAAAAAAATTCAAAGTATGTGTAACATTTGTTTAACCGGATAAAGAAAAGAAAAGAAAAGAAAAGAAAAGAAAAGAAAAGAAAAGAAAAGAAAAGAAAAGAAAAGAAAAGAAAAGAAAAGAAATTCAGAGGACTCCTTTGGTGCCCTTCTTAAACAATAAAATCCTTACTACCCAAAAATTCACTCTCTGTACACACATGAACTGTAACTTCTCATAGTACATTTAAAAAGCAACAACCAACCACAAAAACTGATTCACCAGGTTGGGTTTCAAAGGGAGCTTCGAACTCTCCCTGAAAGTCTGGTAGGTGATTAGGCTGAGGCCCTAGTTGTGGCCTGAATTGGCTGGACAGATTATCCATATGTGGTCTATCTCCCTGCACAGATTGCAGGGAATATCTTTATTTTCTGAGTAACTTCAGGAAATAAAGCACAAGAAGAGATGTCCAGAATGCCATTAGAGGAACATGAAGAGTGACTCCAATCAATCACAACTGAGAAGACCTAATAGGGAATACATTGTGGAAATAAGGGTGACAAAACCTTCTTACTTCTCCACCCTTGTTGCATTTTCCAGTAGCTATCTAGCAGCCCTTTTCAGGGTGACCCAATCACTGCTGGGGAAGGATGGACTGCAGAACCATCTGCAGGGCCACTGTGAGAAACAGTCTCACTATCTGGCAGATAAAGTCAGTTGGATTCATTCAGAGTTGGACTCCAACTAGATGGGTCTAACTAAGGTGCAGGTGATCCAGATAGTCAATCTGGAGGGAGTTTGATCCTATGACTCCTGAGGAAATGAACAAGTTTCTCTAGACTGTTAGTTTGGCCACCTATTTGTTAGATCCAGGTCCCTACTGTATGGTTAAAGCCACCCAGGAGATGACCTGTGGTTGGGTCCATGCAGTGGTGTCAGTTTCTTTGAGGTATGGGGTGACCCCTCAGCCTCAAAGGAGGCTGTGGTACACCCTCTACTCAAGAAGTGATCAGTGGACCCAATGTTCTTAGACAAAAATTATCCAATATTCAATCTTCACTTTTTACAGAAGGTGGTGGAAAGGGTGGCCAGACGACTGGTTCAGAGATCTCTGAAGGAAATGGATTATTTCAACCTGGACCAGGCAAGGGTTTAATATGAAGACAACATTGGTTACACCTGTTGTTGACCTGTGAAATAACTGGTTAAGGTCATCTGCCAATTTGGTATCAGGTATCTTAGATATGTTGATGATATCCACTTGTATAACTCAATCTCTGACCAGTGGAGCAATGTAGCCAAAGTCCATATTGTGTCCAGAGATTGTCTTGGTCTGGATGGGGAGGAACAGTTTAAGGCTCAATCCTGACAAGACCTAGTGGCTTTGATTGTTTAGGCCCCTTGGGTCTGAAGGTATTCCATTATTGACTCTCAATGGAGTTGCACTTCCCATACAAGATATGTACAATCTGGGAGTCCTCTTGGATTCTCATATCCTTCTCATAGAGAAGGTGGAAGCTATGGCTAAGAGGCCTTAGCATAGGTACATCATGTCTACCTGTTGTGCCCTTCACTTGATCAAGAAATCCAGATATTCATAGCCCAGTCACCTCACAATTAGATTACTTTAATATGTTCTACATAGGGTGCCCTTGAAAATGATCAGGAAGCTGCAGGTGATCCAGAATATGGTGGTGTTGATGGTGATGGGGGCACCAAGTTATGCAGAAATGACCCCATTGTTTCATGTGCTCTACTGGTTGCAAGTCGGCTTCTGGGTGCAATTCAAGATGCTGATTATCAATTGTAAAATCCTTCATGGCATATCGCCTGGCTATCTGAGGGACTGCTTATCTCCAGTTGTGTCTGCCCATCTGGTTTGGTGCAGCAGGGTGGGAGCACATCAGGTTCAGTCAATTAAAGAATGTCAGCTTATGGGATCCAAGAAGTACACCTATTCTGTTGAAGTTTCTGCCCTCTGGAATGATCTTCCATAAGAAGTTAATGTGGCTGCCATCATTATATTGTTCAGGGAATTGTTGAAGACTTGATTGTTCTCCTAGGCCTTGGGGACAGGGTGATTGTATACCCCCCACCTTTTTTCTTGTTTTATTTTGGCTTTGCCTTGCCTTGCTTTGGTTTCAGTTTTGGTTATGTACTTCCTCCCCCCCCCCCTTCTGGTGTGCTGTATTTTCTTTTAACAAGTTGGTTTTAGTTACAAACCACCCAGAGTAATTTGGGAGTTGGGCAGCCTATAGATTAAATAAATACAAATAATCAGTACAAATAGTGTGGGTTTTGCTTTATTTATTTAACAAAATACAACTATGATTTTTTTTAAAAAATAGTGGCAGAAAAAACAAAGAAAAAGAAAAACAGAAATGTAGCATCATATATAAAGAATTTGAGGTCCCCATCTTGCCTAAACAATGGGAAAATGGTTTAATCTTAATATCAGGAATTTCAGTAGATCTTAGATTCAAGAAAAATATTATTTTGGATTTATCAGACTCCATTGTTTTTGTATAGAAAAGTTATGAATAAATCACATATTTGTTGGAGATAATATGAGAATAACACATCATTAAAACATGTATTTGGCTTTTGAAATATTTCAATGGAATAATGCATAAATTTAATGCCCAAATTATGCAGTGGATTAAGAACCTGATGTCATTTACAATTTATGAATCTGTTGCTTACAAATGTAGTCTATATATGGACAAATGTAATGAAATGTAGTAATCCTTTATTGAAACTGGTGTGTCTGTATAAGAAGTTAAAATACAAAATTATACTGCATTTTGCTGTATTTTTGAAATTACCCAGTTTCCCCAGTGGGCTAGAAGCCATTGTCTCAGAGACAAACTTTTCCCTCATTAAAACAAAGAAAAGAAGCATTTCCCTTGAGGTTTTCTAATATTTGAATCAACAACAGCTGTATTTACTGAAAGCATGCACATTTCTTCTGGGATCTAAAATCAAAGGAAAGATTCATAACAAATGTATATAAAGTTTGGAATGCGTGAAACAAAGCAAATTCTTCCCTAAGCCATCATAGAATATTATTTTAGTGGCCTATGCTTTTTTCTCTAAGCAACATTACCAGAAAATGTCTATTCTGTACAGGTAAGAGATTACCACAGAGATACACACATGCAAACACGTACATATACTATTTTATCTCCCTGGATCACTCTTTTTAACGTGTTGTTTTGGTGTCCTAAGGTCTTCATTAACTGTATCAGAACAGGAGCAAGGTAAGTATGCTGATATTACAAATTATTATTACTTACTTATGGCATAACCCTGACCATACTAGCTACTCCTGGCTTAGTAAAAGATTTTGGCATGTCCCTTGAATCTTGGCGATGGAATAAACATTCTTAAACATGCTTGGACCTAGGTCTATGGATAAAAATGAATGTTGATGTTAAACATATAAAAGGTTTGAAAAATAGAAAGGAACAGTTGTTGCAATAGATATGAATAATAAAATATGTATTTGTAGATGTAGCAATAGCAATAGGAATCATGGACTAGAACTTTATCCTTGGATTTTAAATTAAAGTGAATTGTAGCTAATGTACAATGGATAATTAGAATTTTTTCATGGTTTCTTTAATTATTATTATTATTTTATTCAAAGCCTTTTGAATAGTACGTGTGCTATTACACACACACACACACACACA